GGACATTTGCTACAGCTCCTTATTGGGTAGCTAGCAATAGTGAGCCGCTTCCTCCGGATGGGTGAACGACTCCCTGCATGCCCCGCGAGGGAAAGCGGCCGAAAGTCACCTGGAGATAAAGAGAGCGGGCGCGTTGCGATGCATGGCTCCTTCTGCATGGTAAAGGCGTAGACTGCTCGCTCTGGCAGCGCGGGTTCTCGTTTCAGGATACGGAAAATACAATTTAAATATTTTGCCACATCTTATTCATTATTCCTAGTGCTGCCATCTGGCTTCGGTGCCAGGTGTGCCGCCCTTGATATAGTACACACGAGCACCGTTTGACCCCCCAGAGCGGTTGGCGGTATGTCGGTCTTGTACCCACCTTGGGACCCCCCCACAGAGCGCGAGCAAGGCAACGAAACTTAAAATAAGAAAGCCCGGGCATTTTACGGCGCGGCTTGCCAGATGGCGCCGCCTTGAGGGTTTCCCGACATGTCGTTTCAGTAATTAAAGGGGGTGTTTCATGTTGTCGTTGCCGTGGGACTTCTTAATACCTTGGAAAAAGCCGTTTAATACTTTTTAATAGCCTTAATCTTCGCTAAATTGATTTATCAACTTTTAATACTTTTTAAGACCCCGCGGACACCCTGGTAAATCAGTACTTTTTCTTACAAGTAATCAAAATAAAAACACAGCTTTTTGTGCTAGCATTTGTCTCTGAATATATTAAGCATTTGTATTTTGTTGTAATTCATCAGGCTTATTTATGCTTTTATAATGCAGATTAAGGCTGTTAAGGAAGGCTCTGTCAGTATTTTTTTTTATTTTGATATACTTTATTAATCCCTGTGGGAAAATTGTTTCTCTGCATTTGACCCATCCTAGTGTTAGGAGCAGTGGGCTGCCATTATGTACGGCGCCCAGGGATACCCAGTATGCGTTTGGGTCAAAAATGTTCCCTACGAAGTTTATTAAAAAAGTTTTAATATTAACCCAAACTTTAAAAAGGAATATTTCATTTAGTTCTCTTCACAGTTATTAATCAAGTCCTGAGATATAGTAACTGTGTATGCAGCGGGGTAAGAGGCATTGGATGTGCACGTAAGGTCTTTTAAATTTGAACTCAGAGCCCTTTATGCTTTATTAAAAAAAATGTTTCTCACCTAAATACTCTGCCGTAGTTACCGTGGACCTTGTAGACTCCATACAGCCTGTCTGCTACTCTCTAAAATAAAAAGACATTGAATTCATTATTATGTCATGGCTAGTCAAAAAAATAATCCAGAGGCAGAAGCGACTGAAAAAAACTACTTTCTCAATAAGACAAAGGTGGAGATGAAGTAATTGAAGAAAGTAAAAAATCTAGCATGCTGCGGACACTACACTGTGTGTCAGCAGATGTCAGTGAAATATGGATGCCCGTGTTACACAAGAGCATGCAAAAAAATGTTTAATGACTGGCTGTACCTACACAGACATTTAAACGCAGGTGTGTGTATGTGTGTGTTTTGCACATGCTGAACTCACCGCCCGCACCCTCAGTAACTGAGAGATGACAGTGTTCAGTTCATCACTGTATTGTTTCATTGCTGTGAATCTTCTGGAAAACACAACACATGGATCATAAATCAAACAGTGTTTAACCAAAACCACACGTTCCTTTTTGTTTCACTCTTTGTTCAAATCCTGCAAACATCTTTCACAGGCAAACCAATGAAAGTAAAAAAAGAAAAAATCATCTTTGTTTGTATTGCACTTACTTGTCAGGGTTTTTGACTCTGAACATGGCACTCAGAGACTTTAGTCTGGAGTCAACCTGGGTGGAAAAGAATAAAACAAGTTAAAGGAAAATGTATAAAGTTGCACACATATGATCAAGTTCTACTTTAATAGAAAAAGGACAGAAATTATACTTCTAAAAAACGATTCTCAGTCAAGCAATCCAACAAAGAGGAACTTGAGGCGTGTTTGTAAAAATAATTAGGCAATGTATTATCCCAATCAAGTGTGGAGGAGACATTGTAAAGTCAAATTAACTGCATACCTTATCCTGGAATCCCGTCTCCAAAACCGCCTCCCTCCATCCTTTCTCCTGAGAGAACAGAAGATTGACAGATGACAGAAACATTAACGACATTGTGTTTGAATGGAGCTTTTCAGCAGACAATTACACTACAACAAAACACCACAAGATGTTGCGCTGGACTAAGCATGGTGCTACGGGTTACAGGGAGAAACACAAATATGGAAGTTCAGTTAAAGGTATATCAAGTGTCAAAATGCTGCACACAATGCATTTTTTGCATGTGAAAGTTTAACAGGGCAACCGTCATTTCCAAACAGCAAATTAGAAAGTGCTAGTTTTAATTATTTAGCCCTTTCAATTCCTCTCATTCTTTTTAATGACATCAGCGTGTGCAGTTTTTCAGTGTGATATCTCTTCTGACTGGAGTTTTCCTTTCACACTTCTTTGTCTGTATCTTCCGTCATTATTTTGCAGAAGAGTTTTAATAATATGGAAATGACTGTAAGACTACAAGAGTGCATTCTCGCAAAGGAACTGCAGAATAATTCAATGCGATGTTGTGTAAAACATCATGGTTGAGTGCTAACCTCTGTCAGAAAGAGGAAGTAGATCTTGTCATTGGAAAGGACAGAATGTGATGCAACACGCAGCAGGAAGTTTTCCAGGCCGACCCTCCGTCGCTCAACAAAGTCTGGGTCCAGGTTGTCTGCTGCCAGCTTGTGCCACTGAAACTCTGCCTAAAAACAAGTAATAAAGGAAATAAAGGTGTGTTACCTTGGTTCGTTATTGGCTAATGGTTACACAAGCCAAAAAATCATTATGACATCATAAAGTGGCCAAAATCTGATCAGCTCATTTTCAGACAGGCTTTTATATAAATGGATCAGGACAAAAACTTTCAAAATCTCTTTACACAGAGGGGACACATGTTTATGTATAGAAGACAGGCACAATTGGATTTTGCATAATAGGTGACCCTTTAAGACTAAATAAATGTCATTAACTTCCACCAAAAGTCCTTAGTGATAACCAAGAAAATCATTTCATGTAATTCATCTTTTTTTATTTATTACAATGTTTCTCCCACCCACATTATGAGTCACTTACCCTTTTCTCCGGGAGTGGAGGGATGATGATGTAGGGGTAGGTGACCAGGAGGAATGTTCTGAGTAACTCAAACTCACTGTAGCGTCTCCACAGAGTGTCAGGTGCTGCAGGCGCCGCCCCACCTGGAACAGTTTCAGCTGGCCTGCAGACAGAGGGATGGGAATAAACAGTAGTATTATCAGGCGTCATCGTAGAAATGGATCAACTGTTCTTGTTCAAAGAAACCTGAGATAGCATGAGCAATGTACCACATCTACCTTTGAGATTGCCTGTTGGCTTTTCTGAGAAATGGTGGGGGAGAATAATCTTGTCATAGGCATTGTTATAATTAAAAGCGTCAGCACAAGTGGATAAAATACTTAATTGGAATTCAGAGAGCTACCTTAGCGCCAAGAGAACAGTCAAGTAATGAAATGGGTAGTGAAGTAATCAGTGAAAGCTATTCTGCTCCCTGATTTTGTTTCTTTAAACTAACATTTAAATAAGGCTATTTTATCTTTGAGCAATCAACTCACAGCTGAAGTAGCATTAAAATCCAATCAAGTAATCAAATGAAATATACCCAGAGAAGCCCAGTCCTGTTTGTGGTGGCCAAATTGCAAACCTTCAGGGAACTATTTCACTTAATTACTTTAAGAACACTTAGAAATAAATGATGGAAGATAAATGAAATATGTCCTGTGGGCTTTTATATTGATCAAGTGTAGGAGTAAACGGTCCTACTCCACTCTTCCTGTCACTGCTGTTCTTTCAGCATCACCAAATTATGCTGTTTTTGCATATGCGTTTACACTAATTTCACAATTAGTACCAATAAACTGAAACTTTATACCACTTTTTTGTTTTCAGAAACAACAAAATAACATAAAAGCTGGCAGTAACCAGACAGCTGTTGGCCTACCGTGTTTCTATGAGGTAGACAGTATAGGTTTCCTGCATGTTAACGGTGTTTTTCCCTGTTCTCTTCTCTGCTTCTGCCACATTTATCTCCATTTTCCTCAACAGAGCTGTCCCTCGTTCCACCATCTACACAGACAAGGACATTTCATGTGTTAGCATTAGAAAACAATGCAGTCAATGAAAGATAAAAAAGGTATGTGTCAAATATAAGGGGAAACATCATAAACAACTACATCAGGTGAACAGAAAGGTGTGTGCTGGAGTAGGGTTTACAGGGATTAAGGGAGAAATTAGAAACCTTTTCACTCTGGTGGACAATAAAGTTATATGCAATCCCATCCTAAGAGACTATCGAGCAGAGCACCAGATGGACACAGAGCAACAGACAGCTGGTTTGCAACTCAAGGTAACGTCATATTACTGCTTCTTTACAAAGGGTATGACAGGCGTATGCAGGTCACAAGACATGAACATACAACCATTTAGTACTAAAAAAGCGTCGCTTGTGTATCCGGAAATGCTCCTTTCTCATTTGAAAACAGTGTAATAAAGACTGAACTCAATAGTACTGGCAAATTATGACTAAACTAAACTTCAGATTTGCTAGCTTGCAAGCTAACATCAGGAGTAAAGTTTACAAAGTAGCTTGAAACAACTGTTAGCAACAGGACTCTGGCTAGCGTTGTTACCTTAACCGCAGAACTACTAGCTCGTTTTAGTTTCGAAGCCAGGTAAAGTTATAAACATTGTAAATGCTCTTTGTAGAGGTAAGTGGAAAACTATCGTTTGACTAAATCACTAAACTCCACTTTGGTTAGCTAACATAACGTGAACGTTAGGCCTGATTGGGAAAGTTTTCACTTGTTAAAACAGACATAACTCCAACAATGCTTGTAAAAGAGAATTAGAAAATGTACGACCGTGTTGATAATGTTGCTCTCGGTTTCTGTTGAAGTGATGTCGGTGTTACCGATCACAGCCACTTCTTCGTTACTTCCAGAGTCTGCCATCATCCCCCGGCTGCCGAGCTGCTGCTGTTGTCAGCTGAGCTGGCAGAGCAGTGGTTCCTTTGGTCTGCGCATGCGCGTCTAGCACTCAGGCTAGTGATCACTTTATAGTCTACTCTAACAGGAAGGGCACTCAGATTTTCTGATACCCCTACCCGAGGTAGAACGAAACACAACAATGATTTTTCTTATCTTTAGGGTCTCCCATTAATGAAATTGATTGTTATAACATTTTATTTTGGGGGAAAAAATTATTTTTTTTGGTTGTTCTTTAGAACTAGCCCAATCCCTGAAAAAGAGCCAAATTAGACCAGGCCGAATATGGGAAAGGTGACAAAAAAGCCCATAACTTGAGAAGGATCACTCTTTTCCGCTTCAGATTTGCTGAGGTATGAACCAGGTGGCTCTCCTACATCACCAAATAGTCTGACAATTATTGACCTAAAAGAATACTGAATTATAGTCCTGTAAACTTAGCTTTAGTTTAGACGGAAATTTTACTTTTTGGTGATAGGAACTAGGACTCAATAACTTTTCTCTCATTTATCAGAAAAACAGAAATCCCTAAAAAATATACCATTAGTTATATTGCAAATGAGATTTCTTTAGACATAGGCCTGCCTCTTCTCTGATACAGTCAAATTCCGAATGGGGGAGAAGTGGCACAATAGCAAGTTAAGAATGCTCAATCTGATGGTCATTATATTTGGAGAGGGAAATACCAGATGGCTGAACTACATCACCAAATAGTCAGAATAGGTGTAACCCAATAAAGTAAAGTGTATTAGTTCTAAATTGCAAGCCTCTAAAACATAGGTGTAAATAGTACAGGTTTTATTGAAACTGGAACCTTAATTCGAAGTACAGTATACAAATCATCAAATAATTCTTTGAGAGGTCAAATATAGATACTAGAATATAATGTTAAATGTCAGGTTCCTCAGAAACGTTAGGCGACACATTTTGACATTCTGCACAGCAAGTGCAGAACTCCGTACAGGGAAGACCAACAGAGAGGCACTGGCACTTTCCACTCNATTACATTACATTGCATTTAGCTGATGCTTTTATCCAAAGCGACTTACAATAAGTACATTCGACCAGGAAGATACAACCTTGAAGAAAACAGAATCATATAAGTACATCAGGTTTCATAGAGCCAAACATTTCAAGTGCTACTCAACTGGCTTTAGATAAGCCAGCCCTTTATTAGTATATAAGTGCTCTGTTAGTCATTCTATCGCTCGAAGTGGAGTCGAAAGAGATGAGTTTTATATCTCAGGTGCTCATGTACAAAGACTACTTCCTTATTGCAGCAGTGTGGTTTAAATAATGCCTGTCGCCCTTTGCTGTATGACATCCAACTTGCCCCTATAATACATTATATTGCAATAATGTTGGTGACCCCCCTGACATTTCATATAGCATCTATCAACTGGAAAACAAATGAATGTGTCCAATAGCTAGTTCAAATACCAAAAAACCACTTCAGCTTTAATGTATGTGCAGTGCTTTTTAGCACATTTGGCATGCTGAATTAGGATGTTGAACATGATAAAATGTCACTGTATAAGTACAGCCTCACAGAGCTGCTATCCTTTGATTCCAGTATAAATGTGTTGTTTATTTTGAAAACTGACAAACTATTTGCCAACGGACCTGCCAGTCAACTTTTAAATATTGTCAACACAAAATTATATTGGTTAATTTACTACCTTTTTTTCTCCCAAGCTTAACCACATTTTCATAACAGCTTTACAAACAGTGTCATCAAGCTCTGAGGGTGCTCGGGTGATGAACACTGGGAGATGAGGTTAAAGCTCAGCACAGGGCACATTGAGTTAATTCATGCTCAAGCCATTGAATCATTGAGGATTGTTTCAATTAATGTCCATTATGGGAGAATACTCAGCCAGAAAATGTATCTCAAAATACCTACATTGTGGTATTTGGGTGTCAAATTTGATAAATCCCGTTAAAAAACCCTCAACAAAATATATGTAATGGCCTCTGGCAGATTGACATATCACAATCGTTCCGAAATGTTCCCTTTCGGCAAAGATTAAACACATACGCTCATGCTCTTTCTCCGTTATTGCTTGATCCACTCCCCGCTACCCTCCACCCTCCACCCTTCTGCCTTGTCAATCAGTAGAAGGAGGAAAAACTCATTAAATCTCTCTGTTGGCCATATATGTAATTACAGTCTGCCTGTATGTTGCTAAATACGCCCCGGCGCTAGTCTGGTCTCCCTGGTCATGTTTTTTCCTCCCACCGGTTGTGTTTAAGAGCCCTTATAATTGGCAGAGGCAGTGTGTCAGGATTAGAAGCTGCTGGTTCGAAAACCCGACCCCCCCACCCCATTTTCCCCTTGCCAGCAGACTGCCGCAAATGTAAACTCTAAATTTCCTCGTACCTATTTTCCTAATCCTTGTATCCCTTGTGTTAGGATTAAATAGGGAATATAATTAAAGTGTAATTAATGCAGAATTGTAATCATTCAGGTACAGATAGTTCACTTCTGAATATACAGTAGGGGTTGCTGAGAGATTAGACTCCATCGCTTAAACAGTTTATGACAATGATATTGTTTTCACATGTAGCAAATGTAGCAGTCTAGGTCTGTATTGACCTTGTATTACTTCTCATCACAAAATGATATAATGTATTATTAATATAATGTAATGTAAAGCGCTTTGAGCACTAAGGTATGCTAAAATAAATACCATGAATTATTATTATTAATTAAATTCTCAGCATTTATCAATCAAAATGACTTGCCTGGTTAATTGGTAAAATACCTCCCCACTTTAATATTACCAAAAGGCCTTGATCACTATCTGTTCATAGGCCCATGCATCCACACGTCCTTCCATGTTTTTCCATCTACATGAAGCCTATCATGGATCACATTGTTGGCCTTGTTAAGAGTTTTCACAAGTGTTAATTAAGTCGGTGTATATTTGACTGGTGCCTGCAGGACGCCTGTGGCCTGGTTGTCTACCTCTCTCATCTCACACTACAGTCCTCTTATTCAGAACACCACTTCCCCAGTAGGCAGTCACTGCAAAAAAGAAAAGAAAAAGACACATTTGGCAAACTTTTTTTTTCATTTACTTTATTGGGTTGGAGATACCAAACTCATTATTGAGTGTGGGCAATAGGAATTTTCCATTGGCGTGAAATTATTTGATTTAAAAAGTGTAAGGATGCAGCATAAACCAACTGTAGCATTTCATGACCAGCTACAGTGCTACCCTTGTCTCTCTGGCAGTAGTAAAACCCTTGTGGGTTTAGACAAATGAAGGTTGTTTGGGCCATCAAAGCATTTCAAGTTGAAATGATGGAGCTGATGGTTAGTGATGTCAGCAAAGATGTTGACTTTGACTGAGTCATATAGCAGTTTCTGGTCAGTAGAGCCCCTAATTTCTCGGTCTGTCCGTCGCTGTCTCCCTGTTCCTGTCTCTCTTTTAACCTATCCTACTCGTCTCACATCATCTCACTTTTTCTCACACATATAGAACAGCTGCCCTTTCAGCCATGTCTTTGTGCTGACCGGAGCCAGAAGTGCATGCATTTACAAATCTTAAATGGTAAAAACTAAAAACGATTTACTAAATTATATGTGTATTATTACATGATTTGTACAACAGCCACCATTTCCATCAGAAACAAGGGAAAACGTTTTGTTTTATTTAATCTCTTATAAATGAATAATTAATTAAGGTTGTAAATGAGCAATTAGTCTCTCTTTTCCTCAGTCAAGCTGTATTCATGATTGATTTACAACATTGGAAGGTAATAGGTTACATGCTTTCTGTCATTTCTTTGAGGGGTTATAATGACAACATCTTAATTTCAAATATTTCCGAATACTTATATGTTTTATATATTAAGAAAACAGGGAAATGTTAAAATGAAATGTTACTGACCACCTATGAGGCTTTTCGGTTCACTGCTGCAGCTATGCTAATTTATTTCTCCCTTTTTAACCACAGGCATGTTTGGCTGCGCACATTATACTGCTGCGACTGTACTTTGTCTGATCAGACAAACATTTGACCAAAAGTACGGTTCCCAGGTTTCTTAGAACTATGCTATATTTAAGCTGCAATAAAGTCAGTTTTGTTTGCTATTTATAATAACACTGAAACACAAGACTATCTATCATTTCCAGGTGTCAGCTTGATGCAAATATAACATGATATATATACTGTATATAGCTAACGTGCTTTTTATTATCATGGATATTTTGTTCGTTGACAATGTAATCTTAATGGAGTGCAGATGTTGTTGCTGGGGAACGAGAGTTGGTTTAAGTATAATTATGGTATGTGAAAACGAGGCTGTTGATTGTGAATTAAGTCAAATGAAGACGTTGTTGACCGGGGTGTTATTTTCAGTGAGGCCTCTGTAAGTGTGCAACACTGACATGTTTTTTGAACATGAGCAGTTTCTTCTCTGCCTGGGGGAGTGGTACATCTATGAAAACTAAACCGACACAAACACACACTTTCACACATGAATGTATATTATGCAAATGTACAATAAAACAGAATATGATGAGTTACCTAATTAGAGATTATGAGGTGTTAAGAAGATAACACTTTCTTCTGTATTCAACACATACATGCCTGTATGAGGGAAATCCATCAGATGTTTTCGTCACCTCTACACACACACAAATACACATAGGTCATGTATGTTCCACTGCTTGTACCGCTGGCTTACTGAGTAAACATGCAGCATGCACTCAGTTGACAAGTCAACACATCCAGCGAACCCCAACATTGCCCATCAGTCAATTCATTCATAACTCAGCTACTGCTTCCTCTGTAACACAGTTGAAGAGTTTGGTTAAAGTGGCACCTTTGGTAGAGACATCCTTTAAGAAAGTAAGTATAGTAAGTAACAGTAAGGAAACAGAAAGTTACGATGAAAAATATATTTTTTCACAGCTTCAATAAGTTAACTTTGCATACCAATATTTCTATCTATATCTTGAAATACATTCAGTTTTACCTTATTGGTAGGGTGTGTAAAGACATGTTTTTTGTTTTGTTTTTGTCA